GCTGGCCTTTCTCCTGTGTACCCCTTTTTTAGGGAAAGGATTCAACATTTAGCCTGCCAACTAATAAACATTCAGTACCTATCTTCCCATTCAGTTGCTCACTAATCATGCCCCTTTTGAACTCTACCAATTCCACAACCAATAAGCACCTCAAGTTTAGTTTACTTATATTCTCAGTGAATTTGATGAATCTGATCACATTGTACAAATGTTACATTTTAAGGCTATTTTAGCCACATTCAATACCAGTTTACAATGTCTATCTTTCGTACTGATTACTGAGAAGTCCATTCTAGATTTGTTTCGAGCTGTGGGGAGTCCATGGTGACAAATTGTGTATATACTGTTATTTACATTCCACTTATAATTGCTTATGCGGTCTTGATAGAATCTATGTGTCTCTATTATCCTGGGAGTTCCATCACGCCCTCTCTGCACTGTTCAATTCAGCATTGGTAGTAATAGGCATGACGTTATTTTGGAGGCTGGCTCACTTTTGTGGCTAAGCGAATCACACGCCCGCCACCCACGTGGACCGACGTCCTTCAGTGCTCCCTCCCCTCTCCCTCCCCTCCCTCTTTTGTTTAGTTTGATTGGACATTGGAATAATACGTTTAGGGGGTTTGGCCTGCAGGCCGGTGATTGGCTGATAGGTTTTTAGAGGCGGGCCGATCCTCCCTTCTTAACGCGGCCAGGTAGGCAGACACTTTGTAGCTCTTGACAAAGGCGTTCTTACACGCCGAAACGCGCGTCGAGCATTCCAGAATGCCGATGCATTCATTTTACCTTATTTAATTCACCTTTTTTTGTTTTTTCTTTTTTTGATTTATTTATTTATTCATTTATTTTCTGATGCTCTTTTGAGGGTTTATTTGGGCAGTGAGTGGGTTAAGCGATAGGGATAGCCTCTAGGCTGCCTTTGAAGCAGCAGGTATTGTACTTAGTTACCCTGTATTTCAGGGGAGTCAGTTAGTGTGTGCAGGGCTATTTAGGTTACGGACAGGCCATTGCTTGGAGGCCTTTTGCTCTTGATAATAAGCTACAAGTATCTGTATGCTTTTCAATGCTCAGGTGGGCACTTTCCTAGACTAATCCTCTGCATAGTTTTACCTACTAACCTGCACTAGCAACTACTGTGCTCCCCTTTAGGGGTACCTGTACTATCAAGGCTTATTCTACTTTTATATCTCTATCTGCAATACCCCCCTGCCTATCTACCAGATTTCTGGCAGGATTTATTGGCTAAGACCAGATTTCTGGCAGCTCTATTCTCTAAGTTTAACCTACACTTGTAATTAACCTATATTACTCTAGTGACCTGCCTTTTTTGGTCCTCGATACTTTGCAATTGTGTTAGCTTAGATTCAATATTTGTGAGGTTTAACCTCACTTCCCTATATGTATTTTTACAAGGGATACTTCCCGTCTGGCCATACTAAGAGCCAGTGCGATTCTTTTTCCATTATTTTATTTTATTTTATGTGTATCCCCTGTTCAATTAAAGGTACAATACCCACGTTATCCCTCCTCTTCTTTTTCCTTATTCTTCTGTGTTTGTACTCTCCCCTCTTAATGACAAGTACAATTACTTTAGGGGTATAGACCACTGAATGAGCAGGTCTCTACCTTCATATTTGTATGTTTGGTGGTTTCCTGGCTTATTATTTTTTCTTCTTTTTTGTCTATTTCTTTCCCTGGGGTTAAGCCCCCTATTCCCCTAGTAACCTCTAGGCAGAGTCTAGGGTATTGGTTGTTTTCCAACGCTCTATATCCTCTGTTTCTTCTTTCTAATCTTTAAAGAGCTTGTTCCTGTTACACTCTCCTGGAGGAGAGGTCTTCACCATACGGTGCTGGAGGACAGAAGCTGACCCAGGGTGGACAGAAGACGGCGATAGACACTGGGACCATGAGGGACCATGAGGGACCATGATACACACTGACACAGAGCAGAATAGAGACTGTTCCCCCTACATAGCGTCACTTGGCAGATATGGATTGAC